AATATTGTAAACAATAAATATATTGATCTTTAGCTATTTGCTATTAAAAATTTTTCAAATTTAAAAAAATTATTAAGATTAAAATTGAAGTTTTAAAATTTATTTATTTAAAAATTTCGTTAAAACAAATGCCGCTGTATTTGAACAGAGGTTCTCTATTCATGCAAATTTCAACCCTTTTTAACCTTTGAAACAAAATATTGCGGATATATGTACATGGGTGATTCACGATTCGCCGCCAACTCATCCCCGTGTACCTGCTCAGCGGCAAATTTTCGTCCCCGTATGTTCCCCCACTACCGGCCGTACTGTACTCCTCCGTTCAGTCTGACTGCATGTGTTTTCCACTTCCCCCTTCTCCTGCACAATGAATTTTTTATTTAATTTTTAATTTAATTTTCTTAGATTTCGAATTGAAATTTTTAATAATAATTTAATTTGGATATACTTCCGAAGTAGGGGTACCTCCGATTTTAATAAAACTTGGTATACTAACGTATTTTGGTGCGCTGATTACGAAAATGATAGTGAAAATTGGCGCAAATTTGATTATCATGGTAAAAACCATAAAAAACACCATAAAATAATGGTTTTTTACGATTATCTCGTAAAAAACAAAAAATTTCGAAAAAAGTTTTAGACAAAAGTTGTAGATCTCAAAAAAACACACATTTTATGTTTTATGCATTTTTTACCAAAAGTCATTATTTTTCGAGAAAAATCCAAAAACGAAAAACACCATGATAATGAAAACATATACAGCAGTCATGGTTAGACATATTATTTGACTCGTATATAGTATGGGGTACCTTCGATCTTAATGAAACTTGATATACTAACGTATTTTGGTACGCTGATTACGAAAATGATAGTGAAAATTGCCGCAAATTTGATTATCATGGTAAAAACCATAAAAAACACCATAAAATCATGGTTTTTTACGATTATCTCGTAAAAAACAAAAAATTTCGAAAAAAGTTTTAGACAAAAGTTGTAGATCTCAAAAAAACACACATTTCATGTTTTATGCATTTTTTACCAAAAGTCATTATTTTTCGAGAAAAATGGTCCGAAAGTAATTTGCGGAAATTGTGGGGTGGAGTCTACAGCAGCGGTAAATGCAAAATATTAAACACGGCCTTCGGCCGCGTAAGGTACTGCTCGCTTCTCTTTTTAAGAAATCTTGGCGAGAGGGGGTGGATGTGTCCGAAAGTAATTTGCGGAAATTGTGGGGTGGAGTCCACAGCAGCGGTAAACGCAAAATAGTAAACACGGCCTTCGGCCGCGTAAGGTACTGCTCGCTTTTCTTTTTAAAAAAAACCTTGGCGAGAGGGGGTGGATATGGCCGAAAGTATTTTGCGGAATTCGTTAGATCCTGACTAATGGTGAATATGATACTGTATACGAGACAAATAATATGTCTAACCATGACTGCTGTATATGTTTTCATTATCATGGTGTTTTTCGTTTTTTGGATTTTCTCGAAAAATAATGACTTTTGGTAAAAAATGCATAAAACATAAAATGTGTGTTTTTTTGAGATCTACAACTTTTGTCCAAAACTTTTTTCGAAATTTTTTGTTTTTTACGAGATAATCGTAAAAAACCATTATTTTATGGGGTTTTTTATGGTTTTTACCATGATAATCAAATTTGCGCCAATTTTCACTATCATTTTCGTAATCAGCGCACCAAAATACGTTAGTATACCAAGTTTCATTAAGATCGGAGGTACCCCTACTTCGGAAGTACACCCTTTAATTTTAGTTGATTGAAAATTTTGATAATAATTAATTTTGACTCGAAATTTTGAAAAATAATTGAATTTTAGTTGATTTTGAATTGAAATTTTGGGTAACAATTGAATTTTATTTGATTTTAAATTAAAAATTTTTGAAAATAATTGAATTTTCTTTGATTTTGAATTGAAATTTTGGATAACAATTAAATTTTAATTGATTTTTAATTGAAATTTTGGGTAATAATTAAATTTTAGTTTATTTTGAATTGGAATTTTTGAAAATAATTCAATTTTATTGCGATATTTTTTTAAAATTATAAACAATTGTTAAATTTTATAAAAATTTTATTTCAAAAATAATTTTGAAATAATTGAATTTGTGATGTATTTTATTAAAATTATTAAAAATAATTAATTTAGTGAAGAATCATTTTAGTTCAAAATTTGTTAAATAATTGAATTGAAGAAGATCTGAAGAAGATCTTCATTTTGTACTAAAAAAATGTATTTTATTAAAATTTTTTTTTTTAATGTAAAAAAAAGTCGAAAAAGTTGCCATCTGACTGAACGGAGGGGTACAGAACGGCCGGTAGTGGGGGAACATACGGGGACGAAAATTTATTAATACATATTAAATAAATTTAATGTTAACAATAATTCATTGTTGTCTGTCTTAAGTTTCTATTTTTTCTTGTTATATTTTTGAAATTCCTTAGCAGTTTCTCGTATTACGCGTATTAACAATTATATTAAAAATTTATTATTTAATGAAATCTAATCTTAATATTCAATTATTTTTTTAAAATTCTTTCCTTTGCCTACTCTCTTAATTTGAATCACTGAAATTTCACTGGTGAAATAGCTAGAAGTCGGTTACTGAATCATTTAGTGAAATTTTCACTGAAAATCAGTCATATATCACTGATTTCCAGTAAAAATTTTACTAAATGAATCAGTCATATGGAAAACAAAGTTTTCATTATTAAACATAGTAAAAATATTCATATAATTCGTATCATAAAAAATTATATAAATTAATTTAATTTATTAACTAAATAAATAAAAACACAACCCCCTTTACCCTCCTTATCAATGAGGATTTATTTCTATTCTATTAATATAATTTTCACAAAATTTAATAGTTTTTATTTTTATTCAAAATAAAAATCTTTGTTAAAAACCTTAAAGAAATAATTTTTTTAAATAAGAGAACGTTTTACAAATATATTAATTTCACAAATTTTTTAAGCTGAAAAATTAATTTTTCAATTCTTTTAAATTTACTACAGGTATCAATGGTTTTTTCTTAAGTAATAATTAAATAATTATTTATTATTTTGAACTAATAAACAATAAAAAATAACGAAGTTTTTTTTTAATTTAGACCAGAATTTGTTGGACATTTTGGGACCACAGTATTAACTTTTTCTCTAACAGTGAAGGGGTTAAGTGGAAAAACTAGTGTAAATGCACGTTTTTCAAGACTTTTTTGACAAATAAGTAGTAAAGTTTATTGAATTGAAATAAAGTATACCTTAAAGTGTATGATATAAGCATATGTATAATAATTTTTCAAATAAAAAATATTGCAAAATGTCGGCGTTACAGATGTTTAAAGTTGGATCTTTGTTTTTGCGCCGTGCAGCCTACAGGTCTCAAATCTCAACTAAAATCAAAAAATAAAATTTTTATCGTTAAAAGACTCAAATACGCTTTGCAAGACGAAGAGAAAATTAAAAAAAATTTTTTTTGTAAATTTGGGACCATTTTGAAAAAAATCAATTTTTTTTATAAACAATCTACAAAAAAATTGTACATATGGTGTTTGCTAATGACAATTAATAAAATTGTATTGTCAAGAATTGAGAGAAAGGTAAGTAAAATTAAGTTAAAATGTGACTTAGTGACACTAAAAATAAAAACACAATTACAAAAAAGTTAGCAGCAATTTAAAAAAAATTGAATAATTTGAAATGTTTCGATTTTTTGAATTTTTCGAAAAAGTCACATATCTTTTGTTCGAATTAAATTTTTCAAATCTGTACGTTTATAAACCTAACTTGGGTTAATACCTAATAGAGTGCCAAATTTCATGCAAATCGATTAAGCCATTTGTATGGTTTGTATTTTAACGATAAAAATTTTATTTTTTGATTTTGGTTGAAATTTGAGACCTGTTGGCTGCACGGCGCAAAAACAAAGATCCAACTTTAAACATCTGTAACGTCGACATTTTGCAATATTTTTTATTTGAAAAATTATTATACATAGCTTATATCATACACTTTAAGGTATACTTTATTTCAATTCAATAAACTTTCCTACTTTTTTGCAAAAAAATCTTGAAAAAACGTGCATTTATACTACGAGTTTTTCCCTTTAAGGGATTGCACCACTTTGACCCGACCAAAAAAATACGCTTTTTTAACAATTTTTATTGAAGAATAGAATTTTTTTTAAGACAATTAAAATACAGTAGGATATTATACTACTCTTGAACTACAAACAAAATTTATTATTTTTCAAAAATGTCGGTCTGACAGATGACATGGTGGAGTGCTTCAAAAATGTATCGCCGTGCGGTAGACACTATAACTCGGTCCAGATTTGAGCTAGATCAAAATAAAAAATAGCATTAGTTTCTGCAGCTCAAAGTCTATCAAAATACGTATCCGTTTTAAAAAAATGCATTTTTCGCAAAATGGCATCGGTTTGAAGGAAAAAGTGCTTATTTTTGCCTAAATTTTCTTTACTTAAAGTTGTCTAGAAAATTTAAAAATTAATATTTTAAAAAATCCGTACGTATTTCGCTAGATAATTATATCACAAACAAAATAAAAAAAACTAAGAGGATCGATTGAAATTTGTGGCAGCTAGAGTGGCCACCGATTTTTCAAATGTAGTTTTAAGAAAAACGCGTTTAAAGTTTTCTGAACAGTTTGGTCGTGATTAACAATGATTAAATTAAAAATTACCTCTAATCAGCTGCACCGGGTTCATATAGCATATCATTTCTATGCCTATAAGGTGTACTTTAATCAAAAAAAATTTTTCTGATTTTTTTAAAATTTCAAAGTGGTGTAACCCCTTAAACTGTTTACACCTTAAATTAAACCCATGTATTTTGCACTGTTTTTTGTCTAACTTGACTGGAACTGGAATAAATCTTTATTAGGCATATAAGAATCTGTTAAAAGAGTTTAGACGACAATTTGGTTATAAGGAAATCAATTTAATAAATTATTCTTATATATTCTAGGTTCCTGTGTAACGTTATTCAAAAGGAATAAGAGTGTCTGATATATGTTGATCTCTGTATGCTGTGGCCACTGAATCTTTCTGAAGCTTCTCTTACTTTGTAAGTATTAATAAAGAAAAATTTATTTCTTTTATTGCTTCCTCGTGGAGGAAGCTATGTAGTCCTTTCGTTTATAAACTTTTTAAAAATGGTGAAAACAAATTTTCCTCTATATAGAAACATGTTATATGACATCCTGATCAATTGTCCGGATGTATGTATGTGTGTGTGTATGTGTGTGTGGATAGTTTTTGTGAACACGATATCTTTAACAGATTTTAATGGATTTGGGTAAAATTTGATAGGCTTATTTAACACATTAATCTCTCAAAAATGACGAGAGGATTTTTAAAAATACCCCAAAAAAAAAATTTTATCGTCTTTTTTCCAAAAATTTTTTTGTAATTGAAAAAATTTTTAAATCGAAAAATTTAAGGTAATATATAATAAAATCGTCTTCTTTATGTCAAGATGAATCGATTGATATATATAAAGTATAGATTTGATTGAAATTTAAAGAATTAATGAAAGTTAAAAAATCAAAAATTCTCATTTTAGCTAAAAAATGATGTGTTTATTTAAATTCATGTTTATATATGAAATAATTTTATTCCCTGCATTGAAACGAATTGGTTGGTATATATAAAGTATAGATTTGATTTAAAATTTGAGAATTAATAAAAATTGAAAAATCGAAAATTCATATTTTAGCTAAAAAATGTTGTGTTTTTTTAAAATTCAAGTTCATGAATAAAATAATTGTATTCCTTGCATTAAAACGAATCGATTCGTATATATAAAGTTTATGTTACACTCAAAATTAATTAAAATTTTCTTTATTTTTCAAAAAATTTAATTAATTTAAAACATTTTTAACTCGAAATTTTTTAAATCAATCAATTGAATTAGACAAATTCATTGCTTCCTTCACGAGGAAGCGAATTTTTTGCTTCACAAAATGAGGAAGCATAATGTTTATGAAATAAACATAAAGGACCCCCTCCTTGTTTATTGTATATAATTCTACTTCTAATTAACACATTTAGTATAGATTCTATATAGAATCTATATTATATATTTAAAAAAAATAAAAGTTAAAAACCTGGGCTCATTTTAGCAACCTCTTAGCAATGTCAGCTAACTTTTCATATGTGTTGCAGTGAAGTGTGCGAAAAATAAAGACGTATTATGCGAGTCAGTGCTATATGCTCAACAAAGAAGTTTTTTAAATTGAAAATCATTATTTTTATACTAGAAAGTGCTTGTAAAATATATAAATGTTGCTATTATTCAGACTTTTCAAGACAATTTAAAAATATAAATTTGTTTCAATTTTAAAAATTTATTTCAAAAATTTTTGAAAATGTTTTTGGTTCAACTTTGGTGGCTTCATTCAGTGAGAAAATTATTTTTAACTCCCGGAGCACACACCTCTTTTTTCAAGCAAGAAGCCCAATTTGGTTCTGTGAAACCCCAATAAGTAGGTTTCAAAGTTTTATTATTTCTAAAGTATTCATTCCTTTAACTTAATAGTACATTATGCACCAAGTACCGAAAGAAGCTGTTTTCTGACAAGTGCAAAATTTGCTGCTCCAAGCAAAGCGAGGGCAGCAATTTGCACGAAGTCGGAAAATGTTCTTTCGTACGTGGTGAACACAGTACTTTGTGTAACACCAATTTAGAGAAAATGCTTTTTATTAATTGAATAACAAGCTACAATTAATGTTTATATTTATAATAAAAAAATATTTATTAAATTCATAAAATATGTAATAATTTCAATATAATTAGTTTTATACACAAATTCAACTGACAATAGCGTGCAAAAGTCAAAGTTCTACAAAAATAAAGTCATAACGCTCGACACCGTTTGCGAACATACTCACAGTAAAAACCCGGGCTCCAAATGATCCAGCTGACACCTTTAGACAAAAAGTCGCATTACGCAAAGTCGATTCGTTCGCTCAGAAAGGCAAAAGATTCACCCAAAAGTGACAGTGAACGACTTGCTTTTATTTAACGTGACAGTTCTATGCTGTGAGCAACCCTGTCCACTAACGTTTTTTCAGTGTAGGGGAAACCGGGGTTACTTGACACACTTTTTACTCTTTGATGTGTAACTTACTCATTTTGGCTTTTTTTAAAAAGTTATTGTATGGAAAACTTGTTGCAATATCTCAGCTTTAATTTGAAGAAAAGAAAGTTGCAATATATTTAATACTTTTCTTTTTATACTACTTTATTTGAAGTTGTGCAAAGTGCGCCAAGCAACCCCGGCCTGGGGTTATCGGGCGCACTATCCGGGGTTGCGTGGCGCATGAGTGAAATTAATTAAATTGTATGATTTAAAGTTTAAACACTACAAGATTACAAAATAAGTCTTATTATTATTAAAATTATCAATATATATATATATTTTTTGATAATTATGCTGTGAATATTTAAAAACCTATTATTCGATTAAATTTTTGAAAAGGATTGTTACTAGTGCTTATTAATGTGTAAATTTCATATAATCAACTTCATTTAATCATTTTATTAATATTTAACGAAATTTTCAGATAACCGCCGCCTAACCCCGAATGTACATTTGATATATTTACTAATTTTTTATAAAAATTGTTAATATAAATCAAAAATTTTTTTCTTGTTTCTTAATAACAAATGTTATTAAGAATAACTCAAAACTCAATATTTGAGCTCTTCTAAAATTCATCTTTTAAAGAGATATCACAAAAAAATGAAGAGGTTAAAAAATTACTTTGGAGTGCTAAAATCAGTTATTTTAATCTATACTCCACAATAATAAATGAATATTAACTAAATTTTGTACAAACTTACAGTTCATCAAGTACTTTAACTTGAATGAAGAGAAAAATTAATTTAACTTAACACTTTTGAATAAACTCAAGTGCGCGAAGCAACCCCTGTGCCAAACAGCCCCGGTCTCCATAGCTACTAGAAGAATATGCAGTTTTTAGAAAATCAATTTTTTTGAAAAAAGATGTGGTACTAACCCGTTAATTACAGAAAATCAAAGCCAAAATTAAAAAACTTAAAAAAACAAAATTTTTTAACCTATAAGAACTATTTTAATAGTGGGGGAGAGTGACAAACAGTGGGACAGTTTAAACAGTAGGACAATTTATTTATCTGAAAAACTACTTAAAGAAACTCAAACAAAATATAAATGAAAACCATGATTATGACAACACACTATCTTCAAAAATTTTAGCCAAACCGAAAAATGAAATTTTGCTTGATTTTGAAAATACTGGTTTTCTGACTTTTCAAAAACAGTAGGGAGTTGCGACTTACCGTTGAAAATTGAAGAAAAAGACATATTTTTTAGAATATTCTTTATCTAAATTATGAAATGTGAAAAAGTAAGATAACTTACATAAAAAAAGTAATAGATAAGATAGTAAAAGATTAATTTTAGATAATTTAGGTAAAATTAAATTATTTTAAAAATAATTAAATTGAACTAGGTAATTAATTTCATTTACAGTGAATACAGAATTAAAAAGTCTCATTTTACTAAAGTAAATTTTTTTTACTATTATTTAAATTGCATAAAACATTTTAATTATTCATAAATAATGCGAAATAAAAATAAAGAGTGCGTATTAGAATTAAAAACTGTTAAATATGGTGTGAGACACAACTCCCCATTTTCTACATTTTCAAAATAGTCATATAATTAATACATCGAATGTTTATGCGAATTTTTTTTGTACGTCAAAAAGTTTTTAATGACAGATAATTTTTATGCATTAAATTAATAACAGTGGAACTTGGTACAAACTTACTCACGGAAAGCTGTACATAAAGTGCCACTTTTTTTAAAAGTGTGTAAAAAATTTCATATGTATTTTGACCTATGTGTTATTTTTGTGTTAGATTTCCAAAAAAAATTTTGTAACTCTAGTTTTTTCAAGTTTTTTTTGTGAAAAAAGTTGTTTGAAATATTATAGAAAGTTGAAATTTTTTTTCATTATCTTAAAAAAGAAATTAATAAAATTTTATGTAATTGGAATTTTAGCGAATTTTCCAATCAGAATTTCCTAGGAATCTTTACACATGGGGTTTTACAGAATATTTCACACTTATACAAAATTTGCTGAACAAAAATTAATTCAGTAGATTTTACAGAACTATCACGGAGTAGCGGATACAGCTCTTTACGAAACTGAGTGTTGTAAAATGTCACGAAATATTCAGGATAAACTCCAGAAATATTCAGTATAAAAAACGAAATTTCTGTAGTTTATCCGAAAATATCCATCACATTTTACAAAACTCAGTTTCGTAAAGAGCTGTATCCTCTACTCCGTCACAGTTTTGTAAAATATACTGAATTAATTTTTTCCCTATAGGGAATTTTCTATACAGGAAATTTTTTTATGCATGACCTAACGGTTTATCTTGTGATCAAACGGTATATATACATATATGAATTAAAAAAATGTATTAATTTTGATTTTTTACATAAAATTAAAGAATAATCAATACCTAACATTTAATTAGAGGTTTTCAATATAAATGTGTTTAATAACTTTTCTAAAGTTTTTGTTCTCGATTTTGTGCGTCGATCCATAAGAACAAACTTGTCAATTACAATTTTTTATTTCTACATAGATGGATTGCAAAATTTTGGAAAAGCGAAAACTAATATAATTGTTTATTTAAATATTATAGGTTTAGTGCAATTTTCGACTCAGTATAAAGTTGTGTTCAGGCATTCGTTTTGAGCTGCGTTGTTTGTAAAACGCAGTTTCTCTATTATCCTGGAACCTGTTTTCCTTCACAAGTCTGTACTTTTATAGGAAAGAGAGGGAGAGAGGCGCAATAGTGGGGAGAGAGGTAAACGTGAAAGGGAGAGAAGTTAACAGGAACAGAAACAACCATACATTGAAGTTTCTTTTCTTTTTCTTTTATAGCCAATGCTATATTGCTACCGCTACTTTCAACCTAGCGCGCTAGCGCCTCATGTCAAACTAGAAAGTTGTCGCAGTCAACTCTGAAGAAACAGTACGGTTTTACATCTTAAGAAACCT